TCTTGTTAGTTAGGTCATGATTTCCCGGCCTAAACAGATTTTTTTTAAAATACATTTGCTCTTAATACACTCTTGGTGAAAGTTAGCCATAGAGACTTGTTATCATGATGCAAAAATTCATTTGGCTCCCAGCTTATAATACCTATGGCTGACTGATGGATGGATCTAGGTGGCATTTAATAGCTCAATAAAGGAAAGGCTTTAGGCAAGGGCTATAGCCCACAACCTCAGAGATAATGTAGACCCTAAGGTATTCATTCTGTCTTATTTCAAACCATTGATGTTGGCTGTCAGGTAGAGGTCATTCATCTCCCCTTCTAAAGTTGAAGACAAGTTAGACAAGTTTTAGTTCTAGCAACAGTTCTCTACTACCACATTGGTCCTCTCTAGCTCATTGGTCCTCTCTAGCTCATTGGTCCTCTGTAGCTCATTGGTCCTCTCTAGCTCATTGGTCCTCTGTAGCTCAATTGGTAGAGCATGGCGCTTGTAACGCCAGGGTAGTGGGTTCGATCCCCGGGACCACCCATTCGTACAAATGTATGCACACATGACTGTAAGTCGCTTTGGATAAAAGCGTCTGCTAAATGGCATATTATACATTAATGCAAATTCACGAGACCATACCGGTATGTGGGTTTAACCGTTTTAATATAAGAAAGAAAGACATTGGGAACACATTAGGATCTGCGTGCTTTGAGAAACACACAATCCTCTCACAGGAGTTGTGTGTGTGTGCATGCATCAATATTTTGTCTCATATTGTACATAAATGGATGCAAGGCAAAGATAACAATTGAGGGGGTATACTGCCACCTTCTGGTATGAATGATCATTTTCCTGTCTTGAGTTTTCTAATCTTTTACTGCTCACTCACTGCCTATCAGTTTTGAAACCCTCCTTTATGGTAGCTATTAGTATATAGGCCTTGTATGTGTGTGCTATGTACAGTGTGTGTGTCATATTTTGTGTTTGATTGATATGTTTTTGATAATTCAAAGCTACTAGGCATGTTGGATTTAATTTAAACTAGTCTGCAATCTGTTTTAACAAAACAACTTATACATTGTATCACTTCACAATGTTACAGTATCCAACAGTTTACTGTCTGCAGGTACTGCTGGATATTGGGAGGTCTTTATTTGCAGATGATGGGGCCTTATGGAAGAGGGGAAGATACAGTATGTACCATACATAGTCAGGAAAGTACAGGAAGCAATTGAGGAGGTAGAACGGTGAGCATTAATGTGGGGATTCAGGTTCTCTGTAGAGAAAACTCAGACAGTGTTCTTTACCAGGAGGAAGGTGGGAGATGAGGTACGCCTGAGGTTGTACGGGAGAGAACTGGAGAGTGTGGGGGTCTTCAGGTTCTTCGGGGTGTACTTTGACACTAGGCTGAACTGGCAGAACACATTGAGAGAGTGGTGGGAAAGTGTAAGAAGGTGCTAAATGTGATGCACTGTCTGACAGGGATGGAATGGGGGGCTGGGTATTCCTCACTGAGGACTATGTATGTTGCATTGATCCGATCTGTAATAGACTATGAGCGTATGGTTCGGCAGCCCGGACCTCACTGGAAGACTAGATGTCATACAGGCACTAGGACTCAGAATATGTAGTGGGGTGTTTCGGACCTCCCCAGTGTCCACACTACAGGTGGAGATGAGGGAGATGCCATTGCAGATTAGGAGACAGCAGCTGGCAATTAACTATTGGCTCAACCTACAGGGACATGGGGTGTCTCATCCTGCGAAAGGGGTGCTATAGGCATGCTGGGAACATGAGCGAGGACAGAACACAAGCTTTGGGTGGGTGGGTAATATCCAGGCGAGGGAGATGGAACTGTATGGAAGGGAGTTTAGCACCACGGTAGCTATTCCTGTGAAGATTACACTAAGATAGGGAGGGTGTTGAGTCATCTGATTTGTTTAAAAGACATCTGGATACTGTATATCAGATGTTTTTGCCCATTTACACAGATGGTTCAAAAGACCCAAGGACAGGACATACTAGGTCAGCATTTGCAGTGCAGGAATGTCAGGAAACGTATAACAGACCACCTGGCTGTATACACAGAGGAGCTGATGGCTGTACTGTTGGCCTTGCAGTGGGTGGAGGAAGTCAAGCCAGACAGAGTAGTTCTTTGCTCTGACTCATGTGCAATGTTGATGAGTCAGCAGTCCTTTAGCTCATGTAACAGACAATACCTGCTGTATGAGGTACTACAAAACCATGGCAGGGTTTGACAGATGGGTATACAGACAAGATACACTTGGGCCCCAGCCCATGTTGGGAGGGAGGGGAACGAGGCAGCTGATGTACTGGCTAAACAGGCCCTTAGTAGTGGGGAGGTGGAAGTTGAAGTTTCAATGAGTAAGGCAAAAGGCCTGATATGGACAGTGGTGGTGCAGAGATAGCAGGAGCAGTGGAACAGAGACACTAAGGGCAGGCATCTATTCCAAGTACAGAGGAAAGTTGGGGAGGGGAAGACGGTAGGAAGAGAGAAGAGAGGAGGCCATCTTTACAAGGCTAAGGGTGGGACACAGCCGATCGCATAAGACAGCATCCAATAGGAAGGTGTGATTATTGCCAGGAAACAGACAGTGGCGCATGTGCTGATACAGTGTGGGCAGTATGAAAGGGAAAGAGAGAGACTGAGATCCAGTATGAGGGAGAAGGGGATACAGGAATTTAGTTTAAAGACCGTACTGAGTAGAACATCATTAGATACCGTCTAATAGTGTATATTTTTTAGGAGAAACAGGGCTGGCAGGTAGGATTTAGGTAGGATTCCTCCATCTCTGGCCCACACTCCAGTATAGTAGGTGGCAGTAATGTGCCATAACGTTGGATGCCAACCGCCACAGAAGAAGAAGTTTACCGTCTGGTTGTTTTGATGATCTCATCTAGACACGTGACATATCCGCACTTTTGGCGATTTGATAGTTGAATCCGGGCAGTGGGGCAGAACCGACAACTGCACTGAGGTATAATAAGAACGGGCAGGACAGCCATTTTATTATAACAACATCCATGATCCATCTGAAATTACAGTAACATATTTGGATTCCTGCGCAACCATGGGCCAGTGTGGGATTACTTCATCAAAGACCGTCCTGGTGTTTCTGAATCTAATATTCTGGGTAAAATATCACGAACATGTATTCGACGCTAGGTAGTCAAGGTTGGGACTAATTACAGTACGCAACAGATATTGCTAACGTTAGCTGCAGCAAAGGGAGACGTGTGCTAACATTAGCTAGCTCACGTTAATTCTCTACAAAGTGAATATGTGGTGCTTCCCACCATCTTGTCTAGTTTGTTCTTTATTAAATTATACATTATTTCTCAAATGTATGCTTTGCTGTTATTGAAAGAAAACGGGTAGAACATGGACAGGTAGCCAGCAGATCCGACCCGCTAGCTTACAGCTGCACAAGGGTCGAACAGCATTCCTGTGTATATTAACACACTTTCCGGAAATGGCTGCTGTTGCTACTGCTCGCTAACATGAGGAAGAAAACGGCAGTTTACTTAAAACTAGTACTCGTTAACATTTGGGATAATGTGACAATTCGGAGTACAACGCATTTCTCATCCCTGGATGGAGGTACATTTTCCGAGCCATATCTCGCGCCGGCTCCGCGGTGTCTTAATATACACAGGATGCTGTCAGACACTAGTGCAGCTGTAAACAGGCGTGTCGGATCTGCTGGCTAATGCTGGACAGGCATTTGCCATTGTTGTTAGCTCTAGCTTTTAGCTAACTAACCGTCCGACGTTTAGTGCTGCAATTTGTTGCATGAAAACCAGCGAGATAACAATAAATTAGATAGAATAAAATACTGCATAACGGTGGGTAAGACTATATGCACGATTGTAGGTTGTGCCAGTCAGCTTAGCAGAAAACGTATCACTGTGTGAGGCCTAGCTAGCCTGTTAGCTGACGCCTAGCCGCCATGCGCCGATGTCACCTGACATTTCATTGCAGTATCAGGGTTTTCACAAGTTAGTATTGCATATTGTTTAGGCCTAACCTCTCACTCAATCTCATCTGATAGTAGCCTGACGACTCACACTAAATTACGACGCTTCTCTGTCGTTCGCTACATACTTTCATTACCGAGAAGAAACTAACGTAGAGTTTGGCTGGAGCAAGGAGTCTGGGTAGCAGCCAGACAAATCTGATCGTGCTTGGTAATGCAGTGTGCAGCAATGTTCACTTAGCTTACATGACTGAGTATTCCTTTTTTATTTATTTGTTTTATTACATTTCAAATTGCAATACAATAACAAAAAAACATAGGACATCACTACACATATTTTCTCTAAAGAAACATAAAATAACATTAAAGTAAAAGAAATCACTAGTTTTAAATGTTAAAGTACCTCAAATATAATAAATAGAATAAGGTCAGGGGTTAGAATTGTATAAACCTATGAAAGAGTTGTAAGAATACATATTTTTTGTTGTTGTTATTGACACATTCTAGAGATTTTATGAAATATTGGATTTATTTTAAGGGTATATTTTGTGTAAGATTTTAAAGTGAAACTGAGGATTCCCTTGCTACACCAGCAGCTAGCCAGTGACAACATACCAACATTGTTTTAACAACAAACACACATAAAGTGATGTCTCAGTCTGGACTCAATATTGGGTTTTCTTTCTGATAAACAAAACAACATTGGTTTCTCTTTCTGATAAACAAAAAAACTTTGGAGGTTACATTGCCTGACACGCACTGTCTCTTGCTCTTTGTCTCTCTCTCTCATTGCCCCCTCTCTAGGCTGCAGCTGGAATTCTGTGTTACATTGGAGCCTATGTGTTCATCACATATGATGACTATGACCACTTCTTTGAGGATGTGTACACCTTGATCCCAGCGTCCATTATAATAGCAGTCGGGACTCTGCTGTTTATCATTGGGCTGATTGGATGCTGTGCCACAATACGAGAAAGCTCCTGTGGACTAACAGCTGTAAGTATTTTTTTAAAACACATGGATACAAAAGTAATTTCTAGTCTTTGGACTAGATATTGAGTTGATCATATCTCTTCTCTTTGCACCACAGTTTGCTGTCATTCTCCTGCTGGTGTTTGTCACAGAAGTTGTTGTGGTGGTTCTTGGCTATATCTACAGAGCAAGGGTTAGTATTTACATTTTACATTTTAGTCATTTAGCAGACGCTCTTATCCAGAGCGACTTACAGTTAGTGAATGCATACATTTATTTTATTTATTTTTTCCTACCCCCTGTGGGAATCGAACCCACAACCCTGGCGTTACAAACGCCATGCTCTATCAACTGAGCTACATCCCTGCCGGCCATTCCCTCCCCTACCCTGGACGACGCTGGGCCAATTGCGCGCCGCCCCATGGGTCTCCCGGTCGCGCCGGCTACGACAGAGCCTGGATTCGAACCAGGATCTCTAGTGGCACAGCTAGCACTGCGATGCAGAGCCTTAGACCACTGCGCCACTCGGGAGACCCGAGTATTGACCCAAGTATTGGCCTACTGTCTAGTGTCTAATCACACAGTTACAATAGGGAAGGATGAAGGGGAATGCAGTTTGTTAGCATTTAATATGAATTTTATAATTCTTGCACAGATTAAATTGACGTTGTTGCTTGTACTCAGGTGGAAGATCAGGTGAACCACTCCATTCAGAAGGTGTATGATGAATATAATGGCACCAACACAGACGCCCCCAGCCGTGCCATCGACTATGTGCAGAGACAGGTGAGAACAACACTACTGGATTTAAAAAAAGATGACTATAGGTGAGTTTGCAGGTGCCCACAGCCGTCTCACTCTCTCTCTCCTCCCGCCCTCTCCCCCGTCATAGCTCCACTGCTGTGGCATCCACAACTACTCTGACTGGAGGAATACTCGCTGGTTCAAGGAGTCCAGAAACAACAGTGTTCCAGTCAGCTGCTGTAAACCCAACATCAGCAACTGTACTGGAACCATGAGCCGGCCTGGCGATCTCTACCCAGAGGTAAGAGAACACGCACACACAAGCGTTTCCATGTGCAGGTTAATATACAAACGAAAATAAATATAGTCTATAAAGGGACCTTTGTAGCTCAGTTGGTAGAGAATTGCGCTTGTAACACCAGGGTAGTGGGTTTGATTCCCAGGACCACACCAACGTAAACTGTATGCCCGCATGACTGTAAGTCGCTTTGTATAAAAGTGTCTGCTAAATGGCATATATTATAAATCCCATTGGCTATGCAGGGAGGTTGGTTCAGGTTGTCTTTCAATCGCATCATCTCTCTACGGGCGGCAGGTTGCTTAGTGGGTAAGAGCGGTGTGCCAGTAACCGAAAGGTCACTGGTTCTAATCCCCGAGCTGACTAGGTGAAAAATCTGTCGATGTGCTCTTAAGCAAGGCACTTAACCCTAATTGCTCCTGTAAGTCGCTCTGGATAAGAGCGTCTGCTAAATGACTAAAATGTAAAAATGTACTATGCCTGTCTGTCTTGAGCTTGTGCTCTCACTAGCAAATTTACAGCATTGTATCAACTGGTACCGGCCCACAAGGTTTCCTGCACCAGTGAGTCTGAAAAGTCTTCACTGTATTTAAAAGAGAATTTACAGACATGTCATACAAGTCCACAAAGGAGGAATATTTAGATTAAGTAATTTTGCTTCCCTCCTAATCTAATGCCTAGTCAAGTAGCTTAAAAATGCTGGAAACCGTGCAAATCAAGCTAGCTAGTTAGCTAACTAGCTACTGTACCAAGGATGTTTAAAAATAAATAAATACAAATAATAATAATTAACACTGAAACAGAGGAGATGGAGACATGCATTTTGCAAGGAGCCACCGTTCACTTGGTAGGCTCTCATTTCTCCTTGCATATTTATTGTAGTCACTTGCATGTGGTGTCAATTTAATTGTCATTGGGCACTCCTAGAAAACCATTACCTAACACATGACGGCATTCAAATTGATTTCTATTTGATTTGGTTGGACATTCGACCGGCACATTTCTTTCCTAAAGAAAATACTGACACACACACACACACACACACACACACACATGCATGTTTTTAATATTTTTCTTTTTTCCTCTAGGGCTGTGAAGCTCTTGTTGTGAAAAAGCTGAAAGAAATAATGATGTATGTCATTTGGGCTGCTCTGACCTTCGCAGCTATACAGGTAAACAACTATATGGGATAGAAATGTGATATTTGATAACATCTGAACCATGTGTACCAGGAGCATGTTAACTAGAGCTGCAGTAATGTCATCCTGCAGTGGAGAGTCTCTAGTCTAGTAGGCCTTGAGCTGCTGCTGAGAAGTTGACCTGATTGTGTCAAATCGCTTTTTCAATTTTTCAACGCTACCTTACAACATGGGTTCTGCTGACCAGTCACTGCCCTTCTCCTTATGAGGATAACTTGCTCTATTTACGGCGTCACTGGATGCATAGTAATTATGAAATGGATGTTCAAATGCATTCGCATGAGTCATAACAGTGAATGCTGCAGGTATCCAAAACAGCCACTGCTGCCTTTGGGATGGGGGAGATCAGGAAGAATCAGATCCACCAAAAAGGTGTAAAGTGGTAGAAAACTCGAGGTTGAAGCACTCTAGTGGGTTTTAATATAGAAAGCCTTTATTCTCCATGCATAAAGAGCATTAAAAACCCACCCTGATGAAGGCATGCGCCACATTGTGCAGGTGTTAATGCTCATTGTACCGGGTTAATGAAGACTAGAGTGCCTCAACCTGGATTTTTTTCTACCTTATTTGTAGGTATGATTCTTCTGGTTCTCCTTCTTGTTCTACTTCATTCGAAGAACTTCACTGCACACACCAACTTCTCTTCAGTTAATTGAATCACGTGTGATGGCATGGCACAAGGCTGGGACAGAAACCCTGCACTAATGTTGCTCTGGGAGCAGGACTCCTGGAAATTCTAGTCTCTCGCGACAAGACTTTGAGTAGCTGGGCCAGTGCACGTGAAATTTGATTCTGGGTTGCCGGGATGATGAAAATGCTAACTATGCGTACTGTTGTATTCCTCCATCTGCCCGTAGATGCTGGGGATGCTGTGTGCCTGTGTAGTGCTGTGCAGGAGGGGTCACGACCCGGCCTATGAGCTACTGGTCACCGGAGCAACCTACGCATGAGGAGGACACAGGCCCCGCCCGCACCAAGGGCTCCACCAATAAGAATAAAGAAAAGAAGCCTCACCTGACAAGTCCACAGTTTGTGGTTTTCAGCTGTAGTAAGCTCAAGCACACCTTGCACAGGATAACTATTAGGTATACACTGGTGATGGGGGGGAAATCCGTGAAAATAATGATTTATTGAACATGCTTTGTAACTTATTTTTATTTTAAATGTTTTTTTTAGACACTATGGAACGCCTAAGGCCAAAGTTGTTAAATGGCGAATTGATATTAATGTTGTTTTCCTTTTGCTTAAGAAATACAGCCTTGCCTGTTTTTATTTTCCCTTTTGGGGCACATAAGGGATGATTAGGGGCTCTTTATAGAAGAGGAGAACTACTGTTCAGCGCAATATGTGGAATGTACTCCTTTCTCATGTGACAGTTTGCACTATGACTAAAGCTCTGGAGGTATTTAAGGAATATTGAATCATGTGAATATTAGAAGTACCTTTATCTATGAGGGATCCGGTAGTGTACCACTAAATTGTGAGTCAGTTAACCCATCTCCAGTCTCTCCATTCATAGGTAGTGTAGAAGTACTTTATCAGTGTTACCTAAGACCCATGTGTAGATAGAGCTTTGTGTTACAAGTTGGTACATACGTAGGTGTTTTCCGAAACACATTCTAATACCAAGTAGGAAAGGGAAGGGGTGAATCTCAATTGTATTTTCTTGATTCCTTTCTCCTTGCCTCCTTTTAAAATACATTGGAGGAGAAGATCCAAGTGGAGAAACCTCAGATCTGTGCAAAATTGTGCTTTGAGAAGATGAGGAGGGAGGACATGAGGAATAAAAAAAAGTTACAATTGAGATCCAACCTTATCTGGGCATTTGATGTAAACCACCAAAGAATTGGGACTGAGAGGGAGTCACTGTTTTGTTTAGTATTTTTGTGGCATTGTGTATTATTTTTCAAACATAGAAGTTGATATTTAGACTTGTAGCATTGCAGAAAATAATGTGAAACAAAATCATGTAAATAGATTGGGGAGAGGAAAGAACTTGAAATAAACCTCTACATTTCAACTAAAACATGTTTTATTGTTCACTGATGAACTGAAGTGCCACTATTTCATGTATCCATACTAAGGAAACTACAAAGTAAACATTAAATATTTTATGAATCAAATATTACATCAAATACAGTATACAGCTGTTGGTATTGATTCAGATGCACTACTACTTTCTCTTGTAGATCACTTCTCATGTTGGTCTAAACTAGTGCAGTTATTTTATCCCCACACACATATTTACAATTGATACATTTATAGTTTGACTGTAGTTTTATGTATGGTATCTGAGATTCACTATGGTGCCGTGAAAAAATATTTGTCCCCTTTCTGATTTTCTTTATTTTTGCATATTTTGTTTACTGAATTATCAGATCTTCAACCAAAACCTAATATTAGATCAAGGGAACCTGAGTTTACAAATAACAAAAAAAAACAGACTTATTTTACCTATTTCATTAACAAAGTTATGTAACACACAATTCCCCTGTGTGAAAAAGTAATTGCCCCCTTACACTCAAATGTTTGTGCCACCTTTAGCTGGAATGACTGCAACCAAATGCTTCCTGTAGTTGTTGATCAGACTCACATCACTGTGGAGGAATTTTGTCCTACTCTTGCATGTAGAACTGTTTTAACTCAGTGACATTTGTGGGTTTTCAAGCATGAACTGCTTGTTTCAAGTCCTGCCACAACATTACAACATCTCAACGTCCGTGAGCTGAAGTGCAGCTGGGACATGCAGCAAGACAATGATCCAAAACACACAATCAAGTCTACATGAAAAGGGCTAAAAAGCAACAAATGTGAAGTTTTGGAATGGCCTAGTCAAAGTCCAGACCTAATCCCAATTGAGATGTTGTGGCACGTCTTGAAACGAGCTGTTCATGTTTGAAAACCCACAAATGTCGCTGAGTTAAAGCAGTTCTGCATGGAAGAGTGGGCCAAAATTCGTCCACAGCGACGTGAGAGACTGATCAACAACTACAGGAAGCGTTTGGCTGGAGTCATTGCAGCTAAAGGTGGCACAACCAGTTATTGTATGTATGTATAAGTATGTAATTGTTGTGTTATTTGTTCACTCAGGTTCCCTTTATCTAATATTAGGTTTTGGTTGAAGATCTGATTACATTCAGTATCACAAATATGCAAATGTAGAGAACATTTGAAAGGGTGCAAATACTTTTTCATAGCACTGTATGAACAGTGCCTTCGGAAAGTATTCAGACCCCTTTACTTTTTCCACATTTTGTTACATTACAGCCTTATTCTAAAATTGATTAAATTGTTTTTTTCGTCATCAATCTACACACAATAACCCATAATGACAAAGCAAAAACCGTTTATTTTTTATTTTAGCAAATTATTGAGGAAAGAAAAATCTCAAGGATAATCAATGGAAACAGGATGCACCTGAGATCAATTTCGAGTCACATAGCAAAGGGTCTGAATACTTATGTGAATAAGGTATTTCTGTTTTTTATTTTTAATAAATTAGAAAACATTTCTAAAAACCTGTTTTTGCTTTGTCATTATGGGGTATTGTGTGTAGATTGCTCAGTATTTTTATTTATTTAATCCATTTTAGAATAAGGCTGTTACATAACAAAATGTGGAAAAAGTCAAGGGGTCTGAATACTTTCCGAATGCACTGTATGTAGTAGGCCTGTTGGGTGAAAAAGACTGACAATCTCTGGTGCAGCATATAAAAATAGTTCATGGGGAACACACAGTCATGACTCATGTTCCAAGTCAGTTCAGGGAGTCATCTCTACTGCCGGATAATCTATTTCTGAAAAGTCTTGAACAAAGGATCAGAACATCTGAGTAAGAAGCAGAAAGGGTACTCCGCATACTAAGGTTTTGAAGAACTACGGTATGTATGTGTGATTGTGCATGAGTATGTGTGTGTGTGCGCGTGTGTGTGTCCATGCATGAATGTGTGTGTGACTATGTCTATACTTTGGCCAGGTAGGAGCCAGGTACCAGCCCAACCTGTCCGTTTCTCTCCACTGTCCACCAGCCGTCTTCACTCTGTTCTATCACCACCACCACATCCCCTTTAGACACTGACAGCTCATCTGGGTCCTGGGAGCACAGGGAACACAGTGTTAGTAATATAAGTATGAGGCTTTTAATTACTGTATGGCTCATATACAGTACATACATACAGTATAATACAGATCAGTGGAAAAGCTTATGTAAACATGAGCCATCAATATTTGAACTAGTTATATAGTGATATTTCATAATGTCAGACGCATCACAGAGTTCTGTAATGACGTCTGTAACTTGACACCTGTAACCGTTTGTGCAGGTTTCACCTGTAACTTGACACCTGTAACCGTGTGTGCAGGTTTCACCTGTAACTTCACACTTGTAACTTGACACCTGTAACCGTGTGTGCAGGTTTCACCTGTAACTTCACACCTGTAACTTCACACCTGTAACCATGTGTGCAGGTTTCACCTGTAACTTGACATCTGTAACCATGTGTGCAGGTTTCACCTGTGCAGAGTAGTCATAGAACACCATGAAGGTATCATCATCATCATTCTCATCGGTTGTCACTGCAGGCAGGGCCGCTGCAGCTGCAGACTGGAAGCCAGGTATGGACGCATACACTCCATCTGAACTCTCAGGTACTGTTTGATCACTAGGTGGCGCTGCTGGCTGGGAAGTTGAAGCCTCACTGATACTCATCTTTGAACCAGAGTTTCGTGGCAGAAGATTGGAGAACCTGCAAAAATACATTTCATGTCACATTCTCAAATATATATGAATGTGTTGATGACATATAGCTATGTGAATATAGTGATACAATGTGCATATTAGAATTCCTATGCATTCAACTGTTATTCCAGTGTTACAAAGTGTTAGAGCTTGTTTAGCAGAAACACTATGTGGTGGTTTCCTGGACACAATGAAGCCTAGTCCTCAATTAAAAAGCACTGTCAATGGAGATTCTCCATTGAGCTTGATTTGTAGTCCAGGACTAGGCTTAATCTGTCTTCAGGAAACTGCCCCTACGAGTCCCAGGTTCTGCTAACTGACCTTTTCCTGACCCCTCCCCCTCCGCAGTGAGCGCCGCCGTTGTTGTCACCCATTGGCGATGGCTCCCTCTCATAGTAGTTCTCAAACACAACGGGGTCTAGAGAGATGAGGAAGGAAGTCCACAGAAATTAAGGATAGCCAATAGAGAGGGTGTATAGCGTAAAATATGTTATTCAGAGGAACTGTTACACTAGAACAGCAGAGACACACATAGAGTACAAACCCGTTACAGTTACTCTAAGAAGTGTTTGCCATTGGTGCCAATGTTGACAGCACCCCTGGCCCTTCACGCTCTGTTCCTGTATTCAGTGAGCTCTTACCTGGTGGACTTGAACCTGTTGTCTTCAACTCTATGAAACAGTTGTTATCTGCTGTGATGTCACACGTCTCCAGAATATTCCTCACCTCCTCGTAAAACTACAAAAAAATGTTTCTCATATTCATGCTCAGTCTTCGAAGAGGCTTCAATGATTTAAAATGATAATGGGTCGACAAATAAGATCCATTTTGGTTGATCACCAGATAAATTGCATGTTAGGCAGTGTAGAAGTGGTACTAATAGAGTTTCATGTAGACAGTAGTTCATGGACCCATCCATAAACCATTTGGTTATTGTCTGAAGTGTGGTCATTGTTGAGCTCACCTCGTCGTCTTTGACACATTGCATAGAGAAGTGATTACAGTGGTCCCAGAGGGCACACCTCAGGATAGTGATGCGGTCCCCCTCCTGCTGCTGAAACACCTGGAACAGCAGAGACACACATTCAGTACAAACCCTTCATCATCTATCCCTATATATACTGAACAAAAATATAAACGCAACATACAACAATTTCATTGATTTTACGGAGTTACACACTGAACAAAAATATAAACGCAACGTAAAGTGTTGGTCCCATGTTTCATGAGCTACAATAAAAGATCCCAGAAATTTTCCATACACACAAAAAGCGTATTTCACTCTAATTGTGAGCACAAATTTGTTTACATCCCTGTTAGTGAGCATTTCTCCTTTGCCAAGATAATCCATCCACCTGCCAGGTGTGGCATATCAAGAAGATGATTAAACAGCATCGATCATGACACAGGTGCACCTTGTGCTGGGGACAATAAAAGGCCACTCTAAAACGTGTCGTTTTGTCACACAACACAATGCCACAGTTGTCTCAAGTTTTGAGGGAGCGTGCAATTGGCATGCTTGCCAGAGAACCATAAGCCAACTCTAACGTTGTTTTAGAGAATTTGGCAGTACGTCCGACCGGCCTCATAAACAACAGACCACGTGTATGGCGTCGTGTGGGCGAGCAGTTTTCTGATGTCAACGTTGTGAAAAGAGTAGAGTACCTCATGGTGTCGGTGGGGTTATGGTATGAGCAGGCATAAGCTAGGGACAACGAACACAATTGCATTTTATTGATGGCAATTTGAATGCACAAATATACCGTGACGAGATCCTCAGGCCCATTGTGATGCCCTTTTAAAAAAAATATATCTGGGCCTAATTTATTTATTTCAATTGACTGATTTCCTAATATGAACTGTAACTCCGTAAAATCACTGAAATTGTTGCATGTTGCGTTTATATTTTTGTTCAGTATACAATCTCGCTCAAAAGTGACTGCACACATTAAGGTGGCTAACCAGGCATAACCAGGCTCTAAATAACTTTACAAGCTACTGTAATAGCTGATTCATAAGGCATATCAGGCTTACGTACTCACTCGGTAACGTTCAATATTGTGCTTTGAGAGGCACTACGCTTGATTGTGAATTACATACTCTGACCTACACTCTTAGAAAAAAGGGTTACAAAAGGGTTCTTCGGCTGTCCCCATAGGGGGGGTGTTATGCTGAGAAATATAGGCCTACTCAGACATACAGCAGAAGGGGGCGTGGTGTGCTGTGGTGTGAGGCCGTAGTTGGGTTAGTAACAGTAGTGGGTTGGTGAAATGTGAAAAGTTGTGGCTGTGTAACAGAGAGCTCTAACCTCACATGTGCTCTTGTGTGTTCCCTCCCAGTCCTGACGAACTCTCTCCATCTGCTCTATGTTCAACATGTATTGTTTCTCTGTACAGGTGGAGGACAATAGAGGTTAGGGAATACTTTACATTTATTGCATCCTAAGCAGTCTTCTTTACTTGGATTACAATAATAAATTGATGTTTTTTCAATAATCAGATCAATGATAATAAATTCATAATGGATTTACAGATTCATTGATTCATTCATCCATTGATATCATCACAAACAAAGAAAAGTACAGTATATTGTATGGTATGGTTCAGACCTGCTTCAGTGGCGGCTTGCCTGCATTGCTTGGCCTTGTGTTGTACCTGAGGAAGACGAGCAGTAGAGGATTAAAGCTCTGAATCAAAACGTGACTGCTAAACAAAACAATAAAACAGACAGTTCTCCTTTAGAAGAAAATATCAGGATGTGCTCCGTTTACGCTCCTGACTCTCTGTTCCTCTACAGATCTCCATTTTCAGAACGCACACGGAACAAACATTTCTAAGAAATAGACAAGTCAATTCCAGCAATTGCAATCATTTCAGTGGGCATTACATTGTAAATGCCTTGCATTATAACCAACTCATAGACTCACAGAACCAGTCTAGTTTACTTCAGTGATGTAGTAAAAAAAAAAAAGAGGTGGGTAAACTGATCGCCGGTCGTGGTGAAAAAAGTAACACTTCCTATTTTTTCAATGCATATTTCTGCAAAAGGTGGATGAACTGTTGGGCAAAATAAAAAAGTGGGTAGACTGCGTTTCCTTGTGTTTTCCTCCACTATACCGCTGGTTTACTTGTAGTAGGAAAACAGTAATAAAGGGAACAGTTTCATAGCCTTCTCTGATACTGACAAATTGAGTTGCAGTAGAACAACAGTGCATTCGGAAAGTATTCAGGCTTTGTCCACATTTTGTTACGTTACAGCCGTATTATTATAATTTTTTCATCAACCTACACACAATACCCCATAATGACAAAACAAAAACAGGTTGTTAGACATTCTTGCAAATGTATCAAATAAAACAAAACTGAAATATTACATTTACATTAGTATTCAGACCCTTTACTCAGTATTTTGTTATAGCACCTTTGGCAGCGATTACAGCCTCGAGTCTTCTTGGGTATGACGCTACAAGCGTGGCACACCTGTATTTGGGGAGTTTCTCCCATTCTCCTCTGCAGATCCTCTCAAGCTCTGTCAGGTTGGATGGGGAGCGTCGCTGCAAAGTTATTTTCAGGTCTCTCCAGAGATGTTCGATCGGGTTCAAGTCCGGGCTCTGGCTGGGCCACTCAAGGACATTCAGAGACTTGTCCCGAAGCCACTAATGCATTGTCTTGGCTGTGTGCTTAGTGTCAGTCTGAGGTCCTGAGCGCTCTGGAGCAGGTTTTCATCAAGGATCTCTCTGTACTTTGTTCCGTTAATCTTTCCCTCGATCCTGACTAGTCTCCTAGTCCCTGCCGCTGAAAAACATCCCCACAGCATGATGGTGCCACCACCATGCTTCACCGTAGGGATGGTGCCAGGTTTCCTCCAGACGTGACACTTGGTATTCAGGCCAAAGAGTTCAATCTTGGTTTCATCAGACCAGATAATCTTGTTTCTCATAGTCTGAGAGTCTTTACGTGCCTTTCGGCAAACTCCAAACGGGCAGTCATGTGCCTTTTACTGAGGAGTGGCTCCGTCTGGCCACTCTACCATAAAGGCCTGATTGGTGGAGTGCTGCAGAGATGGTTGTCCTTCTGAAAGGTTCTCCCATCTCCACAGAGGAACTCTAGAGCTCTGTCAGAGTGACCATTGGGTTATTGGTCATCTCCCTGACCAAGGCCCTTCTCCCTCGATTGCTCAGTTTGGCCGAGCGGCCAGCTCTAAGAAGAGTCTTGGTGGTTCCAAACAAATGTAAGAATGATGGAGGCCACTATGTTCTTGGGGATCTTCAATGCTGCAGACATTTTTTGGTACCCTTCCCCAGATCTGTGCCTCGACACAATCCTGTCTCAGAGTGCTACGGACAATTCCTTTGACCTCATGGCTTGGTTTCTGCTCTGACATGCACTGTCAACTGTGGGACCTTATATAGACAGGTGTGTGCCTTTCCAAATCATGTCCAATCAATTAAATTGACCACAGGTGGACTCCAATCAAGTTGTAGAAACATCTCAAGGATAATCAATAGAAACAGGATGCGCCTGAGATCAATTTCGAGTCTCATATTAAAGGGTCTGAATACTTATGTAAATAAGGTATTTCTGTTTTTTATTTTATTTTATCTAAAAACCTGTTTTCGCTTTGTCATTATGGGGTAATGTGTAGAGACTGATGAGGATTTTAACAAATTTAATCAATTTTAGATTAAGGCTGTAACGTAACAAAATGTGGAAAAAGGGAAGGGGTGTGAATACTTTCCAAATGTGCTGAATAACTAGGTGTATTACATGTGTATAATTGCAGGGTTCGCAGTGGTGTCACCTTCTCTGACTGGTTTGGTGTTGTGGCTGTGTGTGTGTAGTTCCAGGGATGGCATGGTGATACAGTCCCTTCTCAGACTGGTTGGGGGCTGTGTGTGTGGGTATAGTTCCAGGGTTTGGGGAGGTGGTGTTACCTTCTCAGACTGGTTGGGGGCTGTGTGTGTGGGTATAGTTCCAGGTTTGGGGAGGTGGTGTTACCTTCTCAGACTGGTTGGGGGCTGTGTGTGTGGGTATAATTCCAGGGTTTGGGGAGGTGGTGTTACCTTCTCAGACTGGTTGGGGGCTGTGTGTGTGGGTATAGTTCCAGGGTTTGGGGAGGTGGTGTTACCTTCTCAGACTGGTTGGGGGCTGTGTGTGTGGGTATAGTTCCAGGGTTTGGGGAGGTGGTGTTACCTTCTCAGACTGGTTGGGGGCTGTGTGTGTGGGTATAGTTCCAGGGTTTGGGGAGGTGGTGTTACCTTCTCAGACTGCTTGGGGGCTGTGGCTGTGGTGCTCCTGTCAGCAACCTGCTCTGCCTCGTCTGCTTCTTTACATTTCTGCTCATAGGACTTCTTAGACTGGAGATGGACAGAAGAGACATGCAGGGAATCATCATTGAAGCAGCCACAGTGGTCTGTTGTGTCATATGTTTTATGTAACAATCAATACAACCTCTAGCAATGGTGTATCTCTGTAAAACTGTATGCAACTGTATGCAATGTCATCATGGCGAATGGTTCAATCCTTACTTAGCAGTTTAAGCAAACATTTAGGTCCATATGTACACTACCAGTCAAAAGTTTGGACACATCTACTCATTCAAGTTTTGTTGTTATTTTTGCTATTTTCTACATTGTAGAATAATAGTGAAGACAAAATAACACATATGGAATCATGTAGTAACCAAAAAAGTGTTAAACAAATCAAAACATATTTAAGATTTTAGATTCTTCAAAGTAGCCACCCTTTGCCTTGATGACAGCTTTGCACACTCTTGGCATTCTCTCAACCATCTTCGTGAGGTAGTCACCTGGAATGCATTTCAATTAACAAGTGTGCCTTCTTAAAAGTTAATTTGTGGAGTTTCTTTCCTTCTTAATGCGTTTGAGCCAATCAGTTGTGTTGTGACAAGGTAGGGCGGGTATACAGAAGATAGCCCTATTTGGTAAAAGACCAAGTCCATATTATGGCAAGAACAGCTCAAATAAGTAAAGAGAAATGACAGTCCATCATTACTTTAAGACATGAAGATCAGTCAATCCAGAAACTTTCAAGAACATTGAAAGATTCTTCAAGTGCAGTTGCAAAAACCATCAAGCGCTATGATGAAACATATGAGGACCACCACAGGAATGGAATACCCAGAGTTACCTCTGCTGCAGAGGATAACTTCAATAGAGTTACCAGCCTCAGAAATTGCAGCCCAAATAAATGCTTCACAGAGTTCAAGTCACAGACACATCTCAACATCAACTGTTCAGAGGGGACTGTGTGAATCAGGCTTTCATGGTCGAATTGCTGCAAAGAAACCACTGCTAAAGGACACCAATAATAAGAAGAGACCTGCTTGGGCCAAGAAATAATAGCAATGGACATTAGACCAGTGGAAATTTGTCCTTTGGTCTGGAGTCCAAATTTGAGATTTTTGGTTCCAACCGCCGTTTCTTTGTGAGATGCGGTGTTGGTGAATGGATGATCTCCGCATGTGTATTTCTCACCGTAAAGCATGGAGGAGGAGGTGTTATGGTGTTGGGGTGCTTTGCTGGTGACACTGTCTGTGATTTATTTAGAATTCAAGGCACACTTAACCAGCATGGCTACCAGAGCATTCTGCAGTGATACGCCATCCCATCTGGTTTGGGCTTAGTGGGACTATCATTTGTTTTTCAACAGGACAATGACACAACACACCTCCAGGCTGTGTAAGGGCTATTTTACCAAGAAGGAGAGTGATGGAGTGCTGCATCAGATGACCTGGCCTCCACAATCCCCCGACCTCAATTGAGGTGGTTTGGGATGAGTTGGACGGCAGAGTGAAGGAAAAGCAGCCAAAAGGTGCTCAGCATATGTGGGAACTCCTTCAAGACTGTTGGAAAAGCATTCCAGGTGAAACTGGTTGAGAGAATACCAAGAGTGTGAAAAGCTGTCATCAAGGCAAAGGGTGGCTATTTGAAGATTGTTTAACACTTTTTTGGTTACTACATGATTCCATATGTGTTATTTCATAGTTTTGATGTCTTCACTATTATTCTACAATGTAGAAAATAGTAAAAATAAAGAAAAACCCTTGAATGAGTAGGTGTGTCCAAACCTTTGACTGGTACTGTATTGCTGGCTTCAGATTGGTTGATGTATTTTCTTGTACAGGATGATCAGTCTTCACCGCTTTCGCTCCATTTCTCTCACTCTGCCATTGGCTCTTGCCACTTGTCTCACTACAGAGTAGCCTACTAATGTAGCGCATCTATTCGGTATGTAAATGCTCTCATAGAGAATAGGGTTATATACATGGTGTTACACAGGATGTTCAGTATGATACTGTAATGATACTCACAGAAATAGGCCCAAGTTTATGTATATTTAAGCAAAAAGGCCCGAGTGGATGTGGTATGTGGCCAATATACCACAGCCAAGGTCTGTTCTTATGCACAAAGTAATGCGAAGTGCCTTGAATATAGCCCCTTAACATATACCACAAATCCCAGAGGTGCCTTATTGATATATAATAAACTGCTTACCAACATAATTAGAACAGTAAAAATATATGTTTTTGTCATACCCGTGGTATACGGTTTGATATACCAGCCTTCAGGGCTTGGATCACCCGGTTTATAATTGAGCATAGATCATGGGACTATGAGAGGTGAGATCAGTATAGATGCAGACCAAAATGTTCATTTCTGAGGCCTGTGCTATCCTACCAGTTCCCCACCATAACAGGGCCAAAGTCTGTGGTTGGTGTGTGGGTGTGTGGGTCTATATTCTGTTTCCTACCCTCTTCCTCTTGCAGAATTGCACTGTGATGTGTGTTCTCTCTTGGGTAGCTCACCCCTCTCTTCGAGGTAGCTAGGTCTACTGTGTGTAATGCCAGCCTTCCTCTTTTCTGGGTATGAACTCTTACACTGCACTCTTAGAAAAAAGGGTTATTCGGCTGTCCCCATAGGATAACCTTTTACCTTTTTGGTTTTCAGATAGAATCCTTTTGGGTTCAATGTAGAACACTCTGTGGAAAGGGTTCTACATTGAACCCAAAAGGGTTCTCATTTCACAGTCGCTCTTATTCAGAGCGACTTACAGGAGCAATTTTGGTTAAGTGCCTTGCCTCAAGGGCACGTAGACAGATTTTTCACCTCGTCTGCTCTGAGGTTCAAACCAGTGACCTTTCGGTTACTGGCCCAACACTCTTAACCGCTAGGCTACCTGCCACCTGTCTCCTACGGGGACATCCGAAGCACCCTTAAGTTCTAGATACCATTATTCTAAGCATTTGGCTAAAGTCCCTTACAACTTTCAACTTTCAGACTGTTATATTACCCTCTGTGTATGTACCCCTGGACTTAGTAAATAGAATGCCTACCTCCATGGTCTTCTTGTATAAGGACACCTTCATCTTCTGAACTTTCTCCATAATCCCCTCAAACTGAACGAGGACAAACAACAGCTAGCAACTCAGAAATAGAGGTTTTTTAAATGTATTTTCTAAATGAAATAAGCACTCAATGACACATTTCAAACCTTTTTCCTCTGATCTTTCTGCCTCTCTCTGAATATTTCCATCTTCTTGACCTCTTCCCGTAACATTCCGGATAGCTGGATATGCAGATTCCCGATGTTTTCAATTTCTGTCAAAGGAAACAGTTATTTTAGTATATTGTCATTGGGCTTTGTTCTGGAGAGATGCAGTAGACAGGACAAACTTACGTGTTTTAAGTTGATCAAAGGAGGCTTTCAGAGTGCTGAAAAAATAAGAATGATGCATTTATCAATAACAGGTAGTTGCTCTCTCTCTCTCTCTCTCTCTGTCTCTCTCTCTCTCTCTCTCTCTCTCTCTCTCTCTCTCTCTCTCTCTCTCTCTCTCTCTCTCTCTCTCTCCTCTCTCTCTCTCTCTCTCTCTCTCTCTCTCTCTGATGGCACAGATTCCACCGAGGGCTAGCATGCGTGACTCAATGGCATTGTGTGCCACTACTGAACCTGACTCTATCATTATTATGCTATCATTGGACTCTATTGAGTTAAGATTGAGCATTCTGTCTTCTAACAATACCCCTATATTATTGTATTGGCTACCCATTCTATTGCCTGTGAAGTGGCTGTGGTATAAGCAAGTGGCAAGCACGCCATGCCAGGTTATGGTAATGTTTGTAAAGAAAAAAAAAGAACATTACATTTGACATTTGATTTGGGCCAACGTCCCCCCAATGTTATTTTGATCTGTTATGACTGCATTTTGGCTAACTTATGCATAGTAGGTATTAATGGAGTTGCTCTATATATGTATGTAACCAGCCATTTACCTGATCTCTGTCTGCCCCCCAGCTTTACGGGATATTGTCACCAGGTCCTTCCCATATCTCTCCTCTGCCATGGCCCTGTAGACAGACAGACAGACAGACAGACAGACAGGCAGACAGGCAGGCAGACAGACAGACAGACAGACAGACAGACAGACAGACAGACAGACAGACAGACAGACAGACAGACAGACAGGCAGACAGGCAGGCAGACAGACAGACAGACAGACAGACAGACAGACAGACAGACAGACAGACAGCAGACAGGCAGCAGACAGACAGACAGGACAGACAGACAGACAGACAGACAGACAGACAGACAGACAGACAGACAGACAGACAGACAGACAGACAGACAGACAGGCAGACAGACAGGCAGACAGGCAGACAGGCAGACAGGCAGACAGGCAGACAGGCAGACTTAAAAGCTCTGTGTCTTGTAGAGTGTAGACCAGTCTTTGAGTTATATGAACATTCCGATTCAGTATGCAATCACTGCTGACCATCCCTGCATGTGTTTTGTATGAAGTTTTAATGACGTCAGAGAAACCCTACCTCATCTTCAGCAGTTCCTCCACATCTTTGCACATCCGCCTGCCATCACATAGTCTCTGTATCAGAACCTCATAGCCCAGATGATTAGTGAAATCTACTCCCTATAGAGAGAGAAAGAGAGATATATGTTGTAACCCACAGTTACACAACAATAGTTACAACATAAACGTTTGACTCAAACTGCCCAGTGGTTTTTCTCTGTGTTTAGTGACATATACTGAACAGTTAAATTTCACAGAATTTTAGGGATTGGTTCCCATAAAATGGGACCTAGTGTCTTTACAACATGGTATATGAACCTGCTGAAATTCACAAAGTATCATAAAAACTTGTTACAGGACATACAAACAATAACAGACAATAGAGTCAGGGGACTGTCCAGAGGACCATAGAATATTCACTTTGAACAACTTTTAGTTGCACACAGCATAACAGAAATCCATTTAATGTGTTCTCTTTCATGTGTGAAGATGACAGGTAGATTATAAACTGTTGCCTTGGATGCAAATCTATCTGGACAATGAGAGGGCTAAATCCGTAACCACCATGAGCAGGAAGGGAGCCATAGCAACCAACGCCTCAGGGGACACCTGTGCCAATATACTATGATACCTCACATACAACAGAAAATACCAGATAAAAATGTGGAAATTGTGGTGAAATGGTTCAATCACCTACAGTGCATATCCAGGGGGTTATCAGTAAGAGTTGAACCCAGACCTTCCAGCTTTCCCACAGCACTCAGTTCAGTTCCTAATTTCATTTGCATGTTATTACTGTGGACATCATATTCTGTCAGACAATTGTCATATTTTAGAAACCTAATACATGTTTGCTTTAAAAGGCTCACTACACTTTCTTGTCTGTAAATGGTTGAGAATCAACAAAATACAAATATTTCTGGACAGTGAGATTTTAAATGAGTTATCAGTAGCCTATGTAGTTATGTACTGTATATATTTCGATCAAGACACACACCAAAGCAGCATATCAACAGACAATGGTAGCAGATGGTAACTTACCCAAAAGGCATCTTTAAACAGCAAGGGAGTCATTCTGTTGTGTTATACATGTACTTCCTCAAAGTTCAATGTTAATATCCTCTTTATCAACTTTTACAAAAAACATAAACCACTTAAGTTTAACAGATTCCTTATTGAGATAAAAAAAAGATCTATATATATATATATATATATATATATATATATATATGCAGGACAACTCCAGAATGCCTCAGCTGTTATAACAGCAATATCACTGTTCAACTTTGAATTGTACTTGAATGAGGAAGAAGTCCCCTATGATGTCACTTTCCACAGACACCACCTCTTGCTGAGATATGTATATAACTACAGTTTTAATAATCATTTGAAAAATAGATCATATAGAATTTCAGATCTAAAACGGATTCATAGACTATGACTAAAATGTAAATGTATATTGGGCACAGATTGTGCCTTTGTTCATGAAAAATAGCCATAGGGGGAATTGATTATATGTTTTATTAAACGCCTTTATGGACAGATCAGTTTGATGATAAATGATCTCTGTATAAATATAGTTTTTCATTTAAACTAAATTAACTTTAACAGCTAACACATACCGACCTCTAGTGGTTTACTCAGGGAAATACATAAACCATCACTTTCGAATGTTACAATGAGTCCCGCGCAGCCTCCTTGAAAGTTGAAACGATGTAGCAGCACAACTATAAACATTAGGCCTAATGTTGTGGTTAAATATTCAAGTTCTTGAAAATGTCCATGAAGGTAAAATGCCATCAACGGGACGGGAGGTAAACCAAGAGGCACAATTATGTCGAGGTTCGACCTAAGAATTGAGAGCGTTGATATTTATTTTCTGATCATCTGATGTATATTTTTTCTTAACAATTTGCTAAATACTTGCAAATAAACATGCCTCATTCAGATTGGGGCTACAATTAATTCCTGTTTCACAATATGACCACAAGAGGGAGACACAGACCTCTTCTGCACTCCCAATGTATGTGCTTAACTGACAATAAGATACTGTATGGGTCCACCAAATCCCAATAGACCGAAAATCGACCCAAAACCTAAATCTCCGTTTTATGTCGAAATTGTGCCCTGGACATGTGTGACTGAGGAAATGGTAACACATGGATGAACAAACACATGAAAGCCTATTGATTTTCAGAGTGATAGAGGATGGCCGTGTGGTGTCTCAGTCTCTCACTGTCCTCCTGGTCAATAAGATGTGTGAAAATCTGAAGGCTCTCTCTCTCAGCAGGGGAATCACCTAGTTACTATTATCTACCCAGAGACAGAAACAGGTTACAGAGGGCATTCCAATCAATACACTAGAATGGTAGCACTCTGTCTGACTAAACGATAGGCCTGAGGTATTGGGCTTGCAAGTTAACATTTTCAACTCCTCTGTATTGTTTGTCATCAACTCATTTATTACCAATAATGCCATCGGACCCTAAATAATCCCAAGGGTTTTAGTGATGGAGATTTGCCCCTTCTCTACACTCTTAGAAAAAAAGGTGCTATCTCAAACCTTAAAGGGTTCTTAGGCTGTCCTCATAGGAGAACCCTTTGAATAACCCTTTTTTGGTTACAGGTAGAACCCTTTCTACAGATGGTTCTACATGGAACCCAAAAGGGTTCTACCTGGAACCAAAAAGGGTTCTCCTATGGGGACAGCCTAAGGACCCTTTTGGAACCCTTTTTTTCCCTAAGAGTGTACATCGTCCTCAAAAGTCTTTAACCCTTTCAGTCTGCATGAATAGGAGCATTGACATTTATCCAGCCTATTAGCTATGGCTACTGATTCCTGCAGCCCAGGGTCCGTGTGAGCTGGTCTATCTGCGTGTTGGACCCTGTTTGAGGGCTCTAATGGAGGGTCAAGGCAGCACTGGGAATCAGCTGTGTAGTCAGGTCCTACCCAGGCCAACGGGTCCACAGACACACACAGCCTCCACACAGGGGCTCCCTGCAGTGGCAGTTATTGAACTGTGACAAATGAGCCGTGTCAGGGCCAGGACTAGCCTCCTACCTGGGGGATTCTCTCTAAATGACCTTCCCATTACCCAACCACTGGTGTATTCCCCCTCCTCAGCCTCCCCAGATAGGGTTACACAGGGAGGCAGACCATTCACCGCAGTCCATTGTCCCCATTACCATAGAGTTTTTCCTAATGACTGTATAGGGTTTTTGCCCATGTGAACTTGTGAAGTTATTTTCCACTATTTTCATTTCCAGGTCCATATTGTTATGTCCATTCAGTATGTGTGTATTGATATACAGTATGTAGCTGTGTGTGCTGTGCAACTGGGCATGCATACATTCCTGTGACTCACATTTACATTTTTACATTTTAGTCATTTAGCAGACGCTCTTATCCAGAGTGACTTACAGTTAGTGAGTGCATACATTATATTATATATTTTTTATTTTATTTTTATTTTTATTTTTTCATACTGGACCCCCGTGGGAATCGAACCCACAACCCTGGCGTTGCAAACGCCATGCTCTACCAACTGAGCTACATCCCTGCCGGCCATTCCCTCCCCTACCCTGGACGACGCTGGGCCAATTGTGCGCCGCCTCATGGGTCTCCCGGTCACGGCCGGCTACGACAGAGCCTGGATTCAAACCAGGATCTCTAGTGGCACAGCTACTCTAGACCACTGCGCCACTCGGGAAACGACTTGACCTGAGTGTGTTTGTCTGCCTGAGTGCTTGCTTGCGTGTGTTAGGTTCTGTGCATCTGCGATAGTGTAATAATAAATAATAATAATATGCCATTTAGCAGACGCTTTTATCCAAAGCGACTTACAGTCATGTGTGCATACATTTTTACTTATGGGTGGTCCCGGGGATCGAACCCACTACCCTGGCGTTACAAGCGCCATGCTCTACCAATTGAGCTACAGAGGACCACTAACTGTAGCTCAATTGGTAGTGTGAGTGACTTCACTGCTTTCACACGTTCTCCATCCTTTCATCCCTCCTTCCCTCCTTCCCTCCATCCTCTGTAATCCCCAATTGACTATTGGCACCAGCCCTTTATCTCCACCTCTCCTCTGGTGCCCTGGGCACATGTCTGCAGAGTGCTGTGTGTGTGTGTGTGTGTGTCCCCTTCTCTGACTCTGGCCCTGGTGAATAGGAATGCAGTGAAGTGAGCATTGATTGGCCACGTTAGTGCAAACCTGTTAGTATCCTGACAGATGGATGGCTAATGATGTGTAGGCAGCAGTGCAGGGGCCTGTAGTTGTTAGTGAGATGATCCGCGGTGGCTGTCATAATAATACAGTTCATAAAACCAACAGCTGAGGAGGGGGGACTGTAGTCTGTCCCAAATGGCACCCTATTCCCTACATAGTGCTCTATTTTTGACCAGGGCCCTGGTCAAAGGTTGTAGACTCTGGTCAAAAGTAGTGCACTATGTAGGAAATAGGGTACCATTTTTGGATGCTATTATAACCCAGGACCTAAGCCAATGAAGCCAATGAACAAAGCGAGCTGAAGGCCTTTGGCTTTCTCATATTTGATCTAAATCTGGCTTCAAATGAAACATTTATTAGCAGGGTTAATCTGCCGTATCACTCCTAAGAGTGAGGGGCTTAATCAATTTGATCCTCCTTGTCAATTACTCCCTTTGTGTTCCCAATGGCCACTGGGTGTCTGGGCAGCAGGGGAAGCTCTCTCTCTCTCTCTCTCTCTCTCTTTCTTTCTTTCTTTCTTTCTTTCTTCCTCTATTCTCTCTCTCTCTATATCTCTCTATCTCTCTCTCTCTCTCTATTCTACTCTCTCTCTCTCTCTATACTCATCTCTCTCTCTCGCTCTCTTTCGTCTTTCTTTCTTTCTTTTCTTTCTTTCTTTCTTTCTTTCTTTCTTTCTTTCTCTTTCTCTTGCACGCACAAACGCACGCACGCACACACACACACACACACACACACACACACACACACACACACACACCACACACACACACACACACACACACACACACACAAGCACACACACACTTGTATGTTGATATGGATTTTCTGTTAAATATTTGATCAGCCCTGATGTCACAGTCTGGCAACACATGGCTACAACATTTCAACATCCTGTGGTCTGGTCCTATAAAGGATGAGTTGAGTTCACCTGAAAGGGGACAAATGGATGTTCAGAAGAACCAGAGAGGGTATAGTGGGCTGCTAGGTGACCCAAATGAGAAGTTGCGTGCCAGGGTGCAGAACCTGCCCCCCGTCTGGCCCTGCCTGGGTCCCACTGACAGACTGGATGCTGGTGTTGGACTAATTTGCCCCACGGCTGGTCTCTCCATGGGGACCCCTGTCCGCTGCATCTGCACCCAGGGCTCTCCATGCTGCCCTGCCCTCCTACACATCCCCCTGCCTTTCTCCTCCCTCTCCGCTCAGGCCTCTTCATGTTTCTATCCCTCCTATCGAGGCTCTCATGGCCTGGCGTTTTGCCATGCCGGCCGCTGTGTCTGTGTCTGTGTCTGTGTCTGTGTCTGTGTCTGTGTGTGTGTGGGTGTGTTGTGTGTCTGTGTGTTGTGTATGTCTGTGGGGTGTGTGTGTGTGTGTGTCTGTCGTCTGTCTGTTCGTATGTGTGTGTGTGTATGTCTGTGTTTGTGGGTGTGTGTGTGTGGTGGTCTGGTGTGTGTGTGTGTGTGTTGTGTGTGTGTTGTATGTGGTCTGTGTGGTGGGTCGGGGGGTGTATGGGTTGTGTGTGTGTGTTGTGGTGTGTTTGTTGTGTGTGTTGTGTGTGTTGTGTGTGTGTGTGTGTGTGTGTGTGTGTGTGTGTGTGTTGTTGTGTGTGTGTGCGTGTATGTTCTTGTGTGGTTGTGTGTGTTGGTGTGTGTGTTGTGTGGTGTGTTGTGTGGTGTCTGTCTGTTGTTGTGTTGTGATGTAGTTGTGGTCTGGTGTATGGGGTGTGTGTTGTTGTGGGTGTGTGGGGTGTGTGTGTTGTGTGTGTTTTGTGTGTGTGTGTGTCTGTGTTGTGTGGGGTGTTGTGTGTGTGTTGTGTGTGTGTCTGTGTGTGGTGGGTCGTGTGTTGTGTGTGTGTGTGGTGTTGTGTGTGTTGTGTGTTTGTGTGTGTATGTGTGTGTTGTGTGTGTTGTGTGTTGTCTGTGTGTGTGTGTGTGTTTGGGGTGTGTGTGTTTTTGTG